TTTTCCTATGAAGCAAAGTGAGTCTTGAAGACCACAGTTATTCTTGTCATAAGCTATTATAAAAAGTCAAATCTAGGGGGTGTCTTGAAGGAAAATGTTTATCCTTGTGCTTGCACACAGAAGAGAGAAAACATAGAGACCTGAGGACTTTTGTAAGCAGTAAATAAAACTGATTGCATATTTTCAGCACTAAAGCTTTCATTAGGACTAAGTAGCTAAGGTTTTGCTGGGGAGTTTTACTTAAAATGGTCTAGTTGCTCAAAGTGAGACTGCATGGTATACTCTGCCTCAGAAGATCTCCTAAGGTCAGTGTCTGCATCATACTGATGGGAAGAAAAAATGAATTCTTAAAGCACAAGAAGAAGAAAGTTTATTAGTAATGCAGAGCTGCTGTAATGACAGTAAGTGAAACAACTTCAACACTGGAAGGAGGAGCTTTTGCTGATGCCTTTCAGGTACAATTTTCTTCTCTGGCTGAAGCCTAGCAGGATGGTGGCAGTAAAAGTTTTCTCTGGCTCTCTGAGCCTGGATGCCAGCCTTGCAGGCCTTGCATACTGCAGTGTGAACACACTACATGCTGAACTGCCTTACTACACTACAGAACTTGTTAAATGTTGAATACACTGATAGCAAAGTGACTTTCTTTCCAGTCTAAGCAGAAGGACGGCTGTGGACATGAACTAGTGCAGGAGACCTTTGGCTCCTTTCCACAGACAGGGATGCAATCCTGAGCTGTCAGAATCACTGTTATTTCCCCATCTCTGTTACTGCACAACCTTTGAAGTGTTTTCCACAATCTCCCATCTTTTAAAACATGGGGGTAAGATTAAGGTGAGTCTGATTTATCATTGAATAATTCTTAGGGGGAAAAGAAAAAGGACTTATACTCTCTGCTGTTATAAATAGCCATTCAGTGTCAAACCTCCATGAATCGCATTGCTATGCGACTACACATTCATTACATCTTGTCACTAACTGCAGCAACAAAGCATTTATGAATTACATTACATGTCTACAAAAACAAAGCTCAGATAGAGTAACTGATATGATTAAAACAACTAGCCAGATTTTTACTCTTCTGTTGTGCTCAATTACTAATGTAAGGATTATCATATTTGGCTCACAATCTTGCTTGACTTTCATATTTAGTATTATCATTTTTTCTCAAGACAGAAGAAAGTTAACTCCAATGCTAACTGTAAAACAAATCCCCAAAACCCAAATGCCTTATGGCCTCTTTGCTATCCTGAACCGGTGATTAAGGCAGCTGTCAGAATGAGATGTACTTGCTTCTGTGGAAATAATCTTTTTATGGGTATTGATTCTGAAGCTGAATGAGGGCACCAAGAGAAAGTGTGGTGTCCACTTAGGTGGTAGGTGGGCTCATTCCACAACTGACATTCCTGCTTGAGAAAAGAGCAGTTAAAGGCAAATAAGTGATCAACTGTAGGGAAAGCCAAGATTAAGAAAAATAAAAGAATCTTAAGATATGAACATGGACTGAAATGGAGATTAGCAAGAGAAAGAGGAGTAACAGTATTGCTAAATTTTAATGTCATTCCCTAAGATAGACAGGTTTGAATTTTTGTAAGTAGGAATAGTTTTATTTATCTCTTCTGTGTTTCTGTGACAGACTGAACAGTGGGATCCCTCATCCTTATTGCTGTTAATTGGTATGACTCCATGGAGAAAAGCATAATTTTGACTATATCTGTTGGGCAGTGAGACAGAGAAAATCCCCTTTTCCCCATTCCACAGAATCAGACAGCTCCTCCCTCAGGCAATCTCCTTCATCAGCAGTACAGCTCTTCCGCTCATTCTTTTTTTCTTGCATTTGCTAAATTTGCTTGAGACTTTTACAGAGGAGATTATGATAGGTAAACTAACAGGCAAAACTTCAAAAGCAGGCTTTGCCAAAATACACATTTTCAAAATCAGTGTGGCAGCTTTACTTTAAATACTTCTTAAATATTTTATATAGATACCTGGAAGGACTACTTAGTCATTACAGTTTCATAATTGTGATATTATGTATTTGTCTTCCTTTCTCAGGCAAAATTCTGAGTTGAAGAGGATCTGCTACAATAAGATGTGCTACATTTGGCTTTTATCGTGCAATAATGAAGGCAACTAAATACAAAAAGCCTATAATGAAACATTACACAAAAAAGGACACAGACTTTAAGGTGACACAAACAGGAAATATATAATAAACCATGTGTCATGCTGCTGCAGCTGTTTCACCTCTTACCAATTTTCACAGTCTATAAAATCTTGGAAAGCACCAGATGTTTAGGGGAAGCTGTCCCACTATCCCCAGCTTTGAAAGTACAGGCAAGATTTATTAGTGCTATATATATATGTGATTTCAGTTCTGACTTCTATATTTATAAACTAGGTGAAACATGCAACATCCTGTTGTGAGACAGCCTATTTACTTTCCTGTGCTCCTCCTCACTTGCAGATCTTGGCTGTTGCTGGACCATAACAGTAACTACAGAACAATACTAGGATATGCAGTCCAAACTACAGAATTTAGTTACTGACAAACATATCTCAGAGTTTTCTCCTAGTACCAACTTTTGCCAAAATGATCTTACAATGCACAGATTATGAACTAAGCAAAACTATTTTGCAATGCACAGATTATGAGCTAAGCAAAACTATCTTGTGCATGAATATGCACTAACATTTGGGATTTCTGCCTACGCAGAGACTGTTAGTGCACAAAATTATCTTTTTTTTCCTAGTGCATGGTTCCTAGTATCGGAACAGGGATAAAAACTGTTCATGCATAATTTCCAATCTTTCATAGCTCAGCGGTGCTGTAAAGTGCTGCTGTTCGTTTTAATTCAGTGAGTAGAAGTTTTGTTGGGTTTACTACTAAGGGAATTGCATGTGTTATTAGAAAGCCTCTGACAGCTGTCAGAGACAGAGACAATTTGCCTCATTTCAATCTTTCATAAAGGAAGGACCCTCTTCTTCAACAAAGCTGTCAGAGGCCTGAAAAATGGAATAAAACAGCATTTCTTTTCCCAACACATGAAAATCTCTGTTCCTCCTCTTTTCTCTTCCCCATAAAGTTATAGAGGGGAAGTTGTATAGTTAGAAGAAAGAGGAAATATGATTTGATGTATTTGTTTGGTATACTGCCTTGTCATCACTGACTTGCAGGGATAATTGCATAGCAGCCTGCTTGGCATAGTATTTAATAAATTAGCACTATGTTTTAACATAATGTACAAGGTTTCATGCAGTTTTTCTTTTCTGAGAGCAAGAAAAATCAAAACCTGAAAGACATTGATGAAGACAAGGGCTTTGCATCAAAGACTCTGAAAGTCTCGGTCTGTAAGCATTTCCATGCTTTCCAACACATACGTCACCCTGCCCAGCACTCTTACTGAATTTAAAGCACAAGAAAATGAAATGTTCTCTTAAGACCTGAAACCTTACCTTCCAGCTTTTGATTTAAACAGGTGCATGCCTTAATAAAAACTCTGTCATTCAAATGTTTGGTTTGTTTTTTCTAAAAGCCTGGATTATTTTCTTTGATTGGAATTAGTAACATTTCAGCTCTTGCTTATTCTTTAATGACAAAAGGAAAGTAGCTTATGCAATGTCTCTAATAGGTTAGCATTGTTTTCCCATCAGATCCCACTCAGCTTGCTGATGATGATCAGACTCTCCTTTTCACACCAGTAATCCCATGGGCATCCCTCCATACAGCGCGGTTTCTGATGTCAACTCCTTTAACTAGTACTAGATACTGGGAAGGCATGTGTACATGCATCATTTGTTTTATATTGTTGTTTGCATGCTATTTTTATAGCAGACTCAATGCTCATTTTCACATTTCATACTCTGATTCATTTTTCATCCTGTTTTCTTCTCCCTATCCATCTCGCCCTGCTGAGTAAAGCAAAAATCCATGAATGAGTCAGAGTCAAATTTTCAAAGTCACATTGGTCAGTGGGGTTTGAAATTCAGCAGGACGAGATTGCTTGTGTTTTATCTTTCCAAAGTAGAAAATAACATTTCCTTTTTTCAGTCACAATAAAGAAAGTTTTATCTCATTTTTTCCAGCTCTATTAATTTTCCTGAAATCCAGTCTAAACTATGATGCTCATTAGTGACCGGTGTAAGTAGCTGTTTCTGTTCTTTCTATATTATCATTAGCCTTGTCTAATTCCTCATCCTACCCTGTCATCCTATCACAAAAAGCAACTTAAAACTCTTATTTCTTATTATATATTACTCTTCTGGGAGGATTTTTCACGGGTTTTTTTTGTGGGTTTTTTTGTTGTTTTGTTGGGTTTTTTTTTGGCTACAGGATAACTGAATGGCTGTTTAAGGGAAATTTCTTTGTTATTTTCTTCTTAGTTTACTTGAGTGAATAATTAGGCGAATAAAACTGTAGTAGCAGTTTTCCTTAAATACATACTCTATGCTCCATTCTAACATTTGATTGTGTTTGGTACTTTCTATTCAGTACAATGAAAGGGAGATATTGACATATTTTAAGCAAGAATAAGGAATTAATAATTTCTCATGTATGTAACTTTTAAAGTTTTTTGCCTATATACTACCAGAATTAAGAACAGCATCTCTTGTGATTTATGTTGACTGGATGTGTTATTATCTTCTCAGCTTGCAAGAGTCTAGTTTTCAGTTGTAATACATACTATTTCTGCCATGTTAAGCTTGTTATCAAATCCTCAACCAAATCTTTCTCGACATTTCACATAGCATGTAATAATTCAGCTCCGAAGCCGTAACACCACACCACTCCTTTTGAAATATGAAATACTAAACATGACTGGCTTAGGGCAGGGCAAACAGTTATTTCTTAATGCAAGCCAGGAAGGTCAGTTAGAAAGTGAGGTGCATCTGCAGTTGCTTCATTCCAAATATTGACCATCAGTGCCTCCTAACCTCATAGAACTCAGCAAATATTTGCTATTACCAGCGTTTCCTTCCACTAATATTTAAACTCTTCTTACCGATGAACAGATTCCACTCAGTATCCAAATCAGCCTGATTTGCTAGGCAGCCCTTCATTACATTGAGGCAATAGTTGTTGCAAGGTTTCACAGTGGGAAGTCCTCTGCAGTAAGGGCAGTACAACATCTTCATTAACGCCCGGATGCACCCTGGGGTGGGACTGACCTGCAGAGTTTAAGGTGGGGAAAGAAAAAGAAAAAGGAGGAAATCAATCTCCTGTTCTGTGAAAGTTTGGGATCGCTGAGATTATGTCTCTCAAGCAATAAGCGCAGAAGGGGCAATTTGTGAAAAGAGCTCAACCCTTAATAACACCCTCTTATGAGACTAATTGATTCCTGCCAATTATCTTCATTTAGCACAGCAGTGACTTTCAGGAATGCAAAAATCAACACTCCCCTACTGATGGCAGTGCTTGTCTCCCCAGCCCTCCCCCACAACATCTACTGAAAAGTGAAGGAAAAACACCCAGGGAATCAGCTGGATAGTAACTGACTGGTCCTAATGCGGAGGATCCTGAGGAGACTTCTCACTCTTCCTATGTAAGCTAGAACTGTCAGTCACACTATCATTGGACTAAAATCTCCTCCTTATCAAAGCACAGTAAATCCAGGATAATCTTGACAATTTTCATAAAGTTATTCAGAACTGCACCATGACAAAGGGATATCATGCTGTTTTCAGTTGAAAATACCCTTCAGTCTTCTCCGAAAATTTCATAAAGAGATCAGACAGGGTTTGGTGTTTTCTTGTTTTGGTTTAGTTTGGTTTGGTTTGGTTTTTTATGCTTCTAACATCTCAAGTGACAAAAAGCATTATAGACAACAGTCTAATGCATTTCCATTTACATATCAGCACGACACATGTCTGCACATGGTGAACTTTAAAGAGATAACAGAGACAATGGAAAGACACCCAATGAATTTAGGATTTTCAGTCTAATTTGTTAACACTAGGCACGGCTGACAGAAGGAAGTAGTGTGTAGATATAAACTTTTAGCAATAGGTGTTACACTTTGCACTAGAATGGTATGGACTTCCTGGAGAGGGAATATGGGGGCTGGGGAAAGGTTTTTGAGTAAGACTTCATTATTTGTAATGATCCTTTATCTCATCTTTTTTAGTCATCAAAATGCTGGGCATCTATTCAACAATGTGCCTTTCATGTTCAGTGGAGAGAAATAGGTCCTTTTTGTGTGTTTTTTTATCCCATCTCTTGAAGGGTAGGATTAATCATCTTCTGGAAGACATCCACTGAATCCTCCATATCTAAATTTAAATCAACAAATTGGTCACATTTATTACATGTGAAGTTCCTCAGGTAAATATTATTTCGTCGCTCTCTTTCATATTTAAATGTTCCATCTCAGACTTTTGAAGTTATATGTACTAGTACAATGTACATTTTCAGGCCAGAGTTTCTAACTTGGATTAAAAGCGCACATTAAGTACTACTCACAATAGCATCTTGTCATGGTGCAGAGGAGCACAAGTTTCTCATGCTGGAGTGACAATCTAGAGCAATGACAAAGGGCTACAGATTCCTCTGTGATTTCAAAATTCCTGGACAGGAGATTCCAAAGCAATGGTACACCTTTCACTTATTGTGTTGATTTATGAATAAATGCAACACTTCTAACATGAATTTGAAGGGATTAAGCTGTTTTTCTGTAATCATGGTAGCTTGCGCTGAAAGCATGAATCAGACTTTGCACTATAGTGGTACAGGCTAAACTTAATGATGTGGTTTGTATTATCAGGATTGTACTAAAATTGCATTTCTTTTCCTCTGGAATTTGTTTCTTCCTTTTTGATGTTAAATCATTGATTTTCAGAGAACTATGGAGAACATAGTCTTTACATTTTTACATGAAAAAGCTTCTGTTATGATATACAGCACAGGCTTCTGAGTATGCTCAGAAAGGATTTTTGCCTTAGTTTCCTCAGGAAATGCACTTTACTAGCATAACACTGGTGGTGTGTGTGAAGGTATATTTATCCATCCTTTTCCAATGGCTTTTGAATTGTCAGCCAGTTCCAGTCAAATTTGACTGAGCACTTCAGGTGTCAGTACATGAAGATCCAATATGTTTTTTTGAAATAGACAGCTGAGTGAAGGAGAGAGGTTCTATTATTGCCTTTATTGGGGAAAAAGGTGAAAGATGAGGTCAGTTCCTCACAGATATCAGAGAATCTATGTGGAAGAATGATGCTATGAATGACTCACAGGTTAGAAGAAGCACCAAGGGGAACTTTCACCTTATTAAACTGCAGAAAATCTAAATTCAAGAAGAGCTGAACTTTATTATTTCCGCTGATCAGAACTACTTTTTAGAGTCATTTATCCCACTGTTTTGTATCTCCAAACTTAGAACACATCAATTTTTAAAAAAAGACAAGCATCAAAGCAGGAAGTAAGCAGAATACATATATTTATGGTCAACAAGGGAGTATTAAAAGTTAAAGTGAAATTGCTGCTTAAAGCCAGAGACATTTCTATCTGTGGGCCCTGAGAGTTTCAACAGTAAAGTTCCTATCATGCTTAAAATTATGCTTCCTCCCAGCTCCAGAAGTCTTGTCAACACCAAGTTGTCTGCACCTAGTTGACCCTTAAGTTCAGCTGGAATTCACACACTTAATTCTTGAAAAGCATATCTAGAAAAGCGAAGACAGTCCCTGTCTTTATATTATATATTCCCTGCCTTTATATTATATTTATATAAAACACATATCATCAATATTTATGTGAGCCTTATTTTATAACAAGTGCAATCTGAGAGGAAACTAGCTATCATATCTTAGTCGGCCAGAGGTCTAGATCATGTCTGCTATGACAGGATTCTACAAGGCCGGTTAGAATACCTATTTACACAGGCCCTGTGAATCTTGAATTCTTGTCACATTACAGAACTGCTTTAACCGGAGTACTTCCAGACACAGTCCACTGTGAAGTAGTCAGGATAAATTCCAGCTAAGCAAAATGAATGGGCAGGACCACGGTGTCTCTTATCATGTCTAAATGTTTTAATATTCCCCATACAAAATGGTGGCATCATAACCAGCATTTTACAAGAAAGAAAAGTGCCCTGCTTATGTTAGAAGTAACGAGTTTTTAAGAGAAGAGGCCAAGCGATAAGTCCAAGCAGAAAGCGGGTGGAGAAAGTTTCTACAGAAGTCTCTGACATATCTATATCAGCATTTGACATAACTATATCATCCTTGGACAAACAAAAAGAGATCCTTGCTGATCAAGCTGGATGCTGCAGACCTTGATTTCAGAACATGCCATGTTGGTGACATAAAATACAAGCACATATGCTGTCTCTTCTGGCTTACATTCACTTTGCTTACTGCTACCACCTTCTGCTACAAGCTGGCCATATCCCATACTACTACATTCTATCTGGCACTACATCTCCTCTGGATCCCACTTAGTGCCTGAGTGACTAAAATACACAATGTTTTGTGGGGTTGTTTTTCAGCTCAAAGTGTTTGGAATAATAGGAGTCAGCAGTGCAAGCAATGGGAGTAAAAGAAAGCTAAATATAGTGTTGCTTATTGAAGTGAGACAGGAGGTTTGATAGTGCTTAGGCTTAGTGTTGGAAAGAAGGGAGGGGTCCAAAACAAGATAGGTATCTTCATGCAGGTCTCTGGAGGCACACTCTGTCTTACCAGCAGTGCACTGCATGGAGAGAGACAGATGGAGAGGTCCAAAACACATCTGGGAGGATGGCTAATAATTAAGCTGCGACCTGAGAATGGGATGAGTCCTGTTCTCAATCTTGCTCCATATTCATGTCACTTAGCAGTACTGATATACCTTTAGGTGTCCAAATTGTACCAGTACCACTTTGGAAGTCTTAAGGCTAAAATTTAAATGCTGTGTTACAGCAGTTAAGTGCCTTTCTGAACCCAGCCTTCACTGAGCAGCCATGTTTCAGTTTTCAGCTTCAGCTGTTTTTTCTGTACCTTTATTTTCAAAGAATACTGTCAGGTCTTTTTCCTCCCTCAACAACAGCTGAATTATCTTTCATGCAAAAAATAATCAAAGTTTGCTCTACAATTCTGAAATCTTGGTAAGAAACCAAACATAAAAAATATTTAGTTTAGAGTGTGAATATTTCAGAAAGCTATGAACTTGTGAAATCTGGAGATTATCACATAAAGTTGATTTTCAACCACCTTCTTGCTGCTGGCAAATGGTATGAAATGCATTTTCAAAACCCATTTCTCATTTTCATCTTAAAAAAAATATAAAATTCAGAGTATCTCACACCTAAATACATTTCTGCAGACCAGCCAAAAAGTGGATATTAATTTCATTCAGAAACCTGCACTTGCTGAGGAGAGCTGTTCCTCAGCTCAGAAGTTTTTTCTCTTTTGTCTTTTAAAATACATTGCAATTGGTTCCATTATAGTCACAGAAGAGAAATTTACATAGACTTTAAAGTTCATAAATAACTAGTCCTTACGTAAATCACATAAATCAATCAGATCACACTGAATGACATAATTGGGGAAACTGCTATAGAGGAGTCATGCTGTCTCCCTCACTGACTGGGACAGCTGCCTTTTAGTGTAAGCATAAGTGGAATACAGCACATCAGAAAAGTGTCTTTCTGAGCTTTGATTGAGCCTAGTAGCTGCAGTACATGTTACATTACTGCATTTTGTAATATTTTTTGACAGCTTCAGCTTTACCTAAATGCATGCTTTTGCATACATGCAAAAACCCCCAAAAGCAATATTTTTAAGGCCTTCATTACTAAACACTTCTTTTCCCCCTTCAGAAGTTCTAGGAGGAATATAATTTCAACTAAAAGACAGATTTTGCAATGGTGAACTTGCAAATATAAATAATTGAGGAGAGAATCTCTTTGGGTAAAAGCCAGGAAATTGTACTCTTGTAGCACCGCATTTACAGGCTGCTTTGTTATGTATTTGACCTGTTTTTATAATCAAAATCCTTGGTTTTGCCGGTATATGAACATAAATATTTTTATAAAAAATCAAACAAACTGATTAAACAACTGGTCACCTTTAGAAGGATCAAACACATGACATAAAGTTTCTCTGCTTTTGTTTATAGGAGATTTCTTACCATTGGTATACCTTGTCTGGTAATAAAGTAGGGTTGTTCTTCCAAAGTTATATTAAATGTATCTAGA